GTGTCCACCCGTGTCTTCATTGTGATGGAGTTGGCGACCGGCGGTGACCTCCAGGACATGATCGACAAACTCAAGCGTCCCGTCGATGACAGTAAAGCCCGCGTTATCTTCAGACAAGTGGCCGAAGGACTGAAATACATCCATAACGAGGGCATTGTTCACCGCGACATCAAGTGTGACAACGTTTTGCTGTTTGATGACCAGAAAGTGGCCAAATTGACTGATTTCGGGTTCGCCCGCACTTCATATCTGGCGCCCACCGGTCAAAGTGTTTTGGTGTCGACCACTTGCGGGACTCAGGAGTACTGTTCCCCTGAGTTGTTAAGTAATGATCCGTTTAGCCCGAAGCCAAGCGACTGCTGGTCTCTCGGAGTTGTCCTATACGTGATGACCACCCGAAAGACTCCCTTCCCTTTGAGACATCAGAGGCGCAGACAATTAACAAAGAGGTACTCAAAGACTGGCATCACTAACGATGACTGCAAAGACCTGATCCAAAAGATACTCGAACCAAAAGTCAGCGCTCGGCTAACCATTGGCCAAATACTCGATCATAAATGGATTTGTGATATAATTGTGTAAATAATGACAAACTTTTAGCCAAATATTAAATACTGTATTTGAACTAATGTTTTATAACAATGCAATCAATCGTTGCAAATATATCCATAATTACAATATAACACTTTATAAAACAGAAGTACTAAATTAATTACTAAAACTCGTGTTTGAATTGCCTTTAAATCTGTTTACAAAACTAAACACTAAACTCATGTTTTTTATTATATATTTAGTCTCTTTGTAAGAATTAAATTAATATATAGAATACAAAATATAACTAATATTAAACAAAATAATAATTTTATATTTGCTGTTTGCCCCCGTATTGAAGGCAAACACTGTTGTGTTTGTTATACAACAGACACTCGCGGGAAACGGTGTCCACCAAAGACAGACCCGAGTGTACACATGGATTGGACACAAGAATGAGTTGATGGACTATACGGGTCAACACGTGAACGATAATATCAATAATAAATTTCAGACTTAATTATCGCTCGAAACGATTACTATTGTTGAAAATGATTTCAAATTTGAAATTAGTTTAAAACCAGTAAATCATTTGTGAATAAAATCTTTTGTTAATCTCTACAGACATTAAACCAAAACAACATTTGATTCAATAAATTAGTGACAATAAGTGAGACAAATGGAAATCAAATTGAGTGTTTGGGATAAATGTAAACTCAAACAAAGTGGTTATGTTTTAGAGAAGAAACCATTGAGTTGTGGATATTTCGGATCTGTCTATAAGAGTCGTTACTATTCAGTGAATTCAGAGAACAGTCGAGCGGTGAAAGTGATTGATTTGAAGACAGTTTGTGACGGCTATAGTGACAGACAATTGCCCCGAGAATTGAATGTTTTGTTTGAACTCAAACACGAATTTATTGTCAAAACACATCACATCATTCCTGTTGTGACCAAAGTGTTCATTTGCACTGAATTTGCTGACAGTGGAGACCTCTCGGACGCCATTCCCGCCAATGGTATGGACGACAACACCGCTAAGAGTCTCTTCGCGCAGATATGCAAAGCCATCCAATACATCCACAACAAGGGATGGGCGCACCTGAACCTCAAGTGCAAAAATGTGCTCATGTTTGATGACTGCACTGTCGCCAAAGTGGCCGACTTTGGGTTTACTCTAACCACATATGACTACCAAACAAATGGCCTGTTGTCGGGCACACAATTGAAGACTCGTCAATACTCTTCACCCGAACTCTTGTCCGGCGCTGACTATGATATGAAAGCAAACGACTGCTGGTCTCTGGGAGTGATACTCTTTGCGATGACCACTGATAGGCTTCCATTCAGTATTGAAAGTGAAGTAATACAACAGCGAAACAAGACTTTTGAACGACAACTCAATCCCAACACATCCACTGAGTGTAAAGACTTGATTCGCAAAATACTGGAACCGGATATCAATCTTCGACTGAAAATCGATGCCACTCTTAGTCATCAATGGCTAAGCAATGAATGAATTCAAGTTTTCACAGTTTTCATTAAAATTACAACAAAATGTTTTCATAAATATATTTCTTTGTATTTTTGTTTTTGTTTTCAATAGTAATTTAAAAGTTTTGCTTCAATAAAATGAAAACAATAAACAAAATCAATTAATTTTGTCGTTATTTATAAATGAATTGCAAAGCATTTAAGCGCTCGACGGCTGAAGAGAGGGTCGGCCGCCGACTATGCATTTAAATTATTATAAATTTCCATTACTTATGAAAAGACACCCGAAATACTGGTTTAATGTTAAACACTGTTAGCAATGGAGAGGCTGTCGATAGTAATAGATCGGGAGTCGGGACCACGAGATCGACTACTATTAACACAGTAGACTCGGCCACCGGTGAGCCCGTAGACAACTCAAGGGCACCGAGTGTTAGGACAAACAAGAAAGTAATTTTAAATTTAAATTAAACAAAATATTAAATTTATGAAAATGTTTGAAAAGTAGAGATTTATAATTTCTAGGTTATAACACTACAAACGCCATGGGTATTTATTATTATTAAAATGCATATGATTAACTTCAGGCTTTTCAACTTCGATATCTTTGTCACCTTGGGTAGTTGCGACAAGGTTTTTGTTTTACACTGGAATTTTTAATTTTGAATTTAAAATATAAAAAGTTTAGGTGTGCCAGCGTTACCCGAGAAACACCACATAGAGGTCAACCTAATAGTTTTTCACCAGTTAGCCATAAAAAGCTTAAAAACTATATAGTTCAATCAA